TTTTTTTTTTTTTTTGTACTGGGGATTGAACTCGGGACCTTGTGCTTGCAAGGCAGGTGGCAGAACCACTGAGCTAAATTCCCAGCAGATGGTTCAAATGGGGCTGGCTTTATCCCATGACAACTAGCATCACCCAGAGCTCCTTGCAGGAGATAAAAGTCATCACAGACAGGGCATCGCAATTTGTCCCTTTTTTCCTCTTTTGAGAGCAGAAGGTGAGGCTCTTGACAGGGAGAAAGGACAGTCAATCCTCCATGCCATAAGTCGCCTGACATTGGCCACCTGGAGCACTGCCCAGGGGGTAGCTTGGTATAGTCATGATGTGCCCAGTGTCCAGTTTTCTTGCATCCTTGATTGGCCCTGGGTTTTCCCTTGGATAGCTTGAGTATGCTTAAGCATTGGCAATTGAGACAGCCATAATTTTGGTCTTTTTTCATAGCCTTTCTCCTTTCATCTTCATCTAGATCCCAATTGTTGAACATAGAAAAGGCCATGTCCAGCAGTTGGGTCATAGGGTTCTGGAGACCCATCTGTAAACCTACCAGGATCTCTTGAAAATACTGGGTATTTCCGGAGTGCTAGGAAACGGGTGGGAGAATCTCACATTCCCCTGAAAGAAAGGTGGGCATCTGGGGACAGGATCATCAACAGTATCGATTCTGTTTTCTTTGGAGCCCTCTCTAAATACCATGGCTTCTGGGTCTTCACAGAGATAAAAAGCCATAAAAGCCTGACCATAAGGAACTTCACACCACTTTCCTTCCCTTTTGCAAAAAGATCTAACTGAAGAATAGTAACTGACATTTTGTGCCCATCTCTCACCATTTTCTAGTTTATCCTAATGGTGAGATCACTGGGAACTGTTGGGTGTTTCCCACAGTATTTCCTAGAGACCGCTGACTCCCAGAGAGAAGGGTGCACCCCTAGGGGCTCCCTTAGCCACTTGAGAAACAGTAAATTCCTAAGAAATCAGGGCAGAGCTGCCCCTAGGGGATTCCCTGAGAAACTATAAACTCCTAGGAAATCAGAGTGGAGCCACCCCTGGGGGGCTCCCATAACCAAATTCAGTATCATAGATGGATATAAAGTTAACATTTAAAAATCAATAACCTTCCTGTACACAAATAACAAACTCACTGAAAGAGAAATTAGGGAAACAATGCCTTTCACAATAGCATCCAAAAAAAAAAAAAAAAAAAAAACCCTATGAATCTAATGAAGGAATTGAAAACCAGAGTACAATGAAAAAGGAGATCACAGAGGATATACGAAAAAGGAAAGATATCCCTTGTTCTTAGGAAGAACTAGTAAAGTGAAAATGGCCATACTTCCAAAATTGTTATGTTGATTTAAAGCAACGTCAATCAAAATTCCAACAGCATACCTCACAGAATTAGAGAAAACAATTCTAAGATTCATCTGGAACCAAAAGAGATCTGGAACAGTGTCAGACCCCCACCCAGGCAGAAGAGAAAAACTTGCCAGACAACACAGTTACACATCCTGCAAGGTGCAAAGGATAACAGGAAGCCAATGCTCAGGTTTGAGATAAGCACCCTGCCCCATGCAGAAACACCTGCAGGTCCAGATACCCCTGGAGATTACCAGACTTCCTCTGCCCCAGAACAGCAGATTTCCTCCACTCCAAGACAAAAATTTCCACTCCTCCTGGCACTCCCCCACCCACCCAAACTCCTCTCTAAAGTTTAGCCTTGCCCAATACCCCAGGGTCAACAGCTTTGTTAGCCTTGCCCAATACCCCAGGGTCAACAGCTTTGTCACCTTTGACTGTGCTGCACCCAGGCTGGAAATA